AATTCATGCATATTCCATTCTTGTGATTTATTAAATTTTTCATAATCTTTGCTTGAGTGGTCTAGTTCGTCCACTTTATCTTCCAGTGTTGATACCCTGCTTTCTGTTTCATTCAACCTATTGGTGAGGCTTTCTCCTGTCGTTTCTAATTGGCTTTCTAATTGGTTTCACTTCCTTCTTCATTTCAGCCTGAGTATTCTTCAATATTTCTAACTCTTTTCTGAATTCATTCAGAAGTTTATCCCTACCTTCTTTCAGTTCTTTGATTTCTTTGTGTTTCTTTAAATTCACTGAATTCTTTTATCATGCTTGTAATTGTTCTTTTGAGTTCCATGTCCTGCATTATCTCTAGGGGGTTCTCATTGTACTTCTCTAGAGGACTAGTGGTATTTAGTGGAGATATGTTATTTTGATTTTTCATGTTATTATTTTTTCTCTGTGATTTTGACATGTGAATTTCTTTTGTAGTTTCTGATTCTTGTGTGAGACTCAAGCCTTCAAGTTTAGGTCTGCTTCTTTTTGTGAACTGTATGTGTCTTTGTGGTTTACTTTCTGGGCATGAAAAGCTGGTTCCTATTAGTTTCCGGTTCTCTTTTGATTTTATATTGGAGTGGCCAGATTGCTTTTGTCTTCAGGAGTTCCCACAGAGGCCCAATTCAGATGAGGGTCAGGTGCTCTCAGGCTTTCTCCTAAGTTCTGCATCCCTCTAGGAACAATTTTGGCCTCAGGAATTTGGGGGTTGGACTGGCCTGGGAGCCAGGCCCAAGAAAGATGCTGGTCTAGGGCAGCTGGTGGCCATGCCACCCCGAGAAGCAAAGGCAGATGGGGGCAGGAAGCTGCCCCAAGTGCTCCTGGGGATTGCACTGAGGGCTTGGTTGGTCTGGATGCAAAGGATAAGAAAGAGGAAAGGTCAACCCTGGTGTCCAGGAAAGAGGCTGGCAAGTTGGGTCATGTAGGCCCAGGGAATTAGAAGGAGTTGAGGGTGGGGCCAGGCCCAGATGCTCCTGGGGACCTGAGAAGGAACTGAGTTGGTCTGGATACAAAGGATCAGGAAGCCGTGGTGTTTCCCCAGGTGTCTGGGGTGCCAAGACAAGGAATGGGACAAGACCTAGGCTAGGAGATGGGAGGGTGAATGAGGCTGGGGGAGTCAAGGCACAGAGGGCATGATCGACTTATCCCAGAGAGAGGCCTGTGGGTTGGAGAGAGCAATGCCATTATTCTTAGTAAAGAAAAATTAAATTTTATTGGCCATCTTTGTATCGCACAATGTCTATTTTATTTTGTTATTTTTATTATTTATTTATTTATTTATTTATATATTTATTTTTGGTCTTTTTTGAGACAGGGTCTTCCTGTAGCCCTAGCTGTCCTGGAACTCACTATGTAGACCAGGCTGGCCTTGAACTCACAGAGATCTGCCTGCCTCTGCCTCCCGAATGCTGGGATTAAAGGCGTGTACTACCATGCCCAGCTCAATGTCTATTTTAAATGCAAGTATTAGAGCATATTTTTATATGTGGAGTTAGTGAAATGATAACAGTTTGTGCTTTGTGACATGCATGTGCATATATGTTTTGTTCTTACCAGTGTGGAACCATTGTATGAATTGCTTTTGTTTCATGTTTTGATACAATATATTCTACTAACACTGTCTACCTTTGGTATACTGATTTGTAAATCATTTTTATCAAATTTAGCCAAAGCAAAATACAAAGATGTACAGACTTTCTTGGGCTTCTTTCAATGCAAATTTCTTTTTGTATTTGTCATAAATTATAGTTAGGTGTGGGAATGACTTTTTAAAGTTTTTTATTGAACAGAAATGACTTTTATAGATAGTACATAATGAGGATTAATGATTTTTAATTAACCCCAGCAAAACCATATGCTCTTATGTCTTGTGACTTTGGCAGCTGATCTGGTTTCCTAGGCAACCTCCATTTGGTACTCCACCCAAAAAGAAATGAATGAATGAATGAATGTGGGTATGCTTGAGAATTAACATATGAAAGTGCTGAAAGGTGGCACAGCCATCTCCATGGTACACAGAGGCTGGGAAGAACACATGACCTTGGATGAATGAGATAGTCTAGAACTAGGGATGAAAAGGCCAGATGGTCTGTTAATTTTAGGGTGGAGCCAAGCTTGTACTTCCCCAATTAAAACTGGAGAAACTATTTCGAGTAACATTATGGGTGGGGCTGGACTCAGGACACAGTCCCAGGGACAGAGTTCCAACAGATAATTCCATTCACACAGTTCAAGGAGGCATTTTGGGGAATGGGTGTCTTCTGAGTTTGGGTCCACACTTAAAAACTAAATTTAAAAGTTAGGCTTTTTTGTTGTTATTCAGGTCATTATAATGTTGGTATAGTAATGTCTTGACTATCAGAGCCCTGCTGTGTTAGTCAGCTTTCCATCACTATCACAAATGCCTGAGGTAAATAACTTTACAAAGGGTAAAGGTTTGTTTTGGCTCTCAGTTTCAGAGGTGGCAGGTTATAATGCGTTGGCACCATTACTTTGGGTCTATGATAGCACATAATGGTAGGAGCATATTGTTGTGATGTTGTTTCACCAGAGAAGACCATTCAGACATAGAAATTTATGCCAAAAGAAAGTATATATATGTATATTAGCTTGCCAGTGACTACATTGGGCATTTGGTTCCCAAGTGCAGTCCCGAGCTATCTTTAGGGTAAGCTTTTATTTAGAAAAACTACATCTGGTGGTGAAAAGTTTAAGTTCCCAAGCTTAGGGGTGCAAAGGCCCCCTAGCAATTTCTATTCTGTAAGACAATTGCTATTCTGCAAGAGCAAGCCAAGTGAAAAACATAGAAGCCATAAATCTGCAGTTAGCAGGAGCAGTTGGGAACATGCTGACCTGTTCCCACACCCTGGGCTAACTGCCTTTTAGTTTCAGAGGCTAGGTTCAGCCTAGACTTCAATGTAGCTATTGTCAAGAAGGTACCATATCACAACATGGCAGAAAATCTCCTCTCCTCTCATGGCCAGGAAGGGAGAAGAGAGAGAAAGGAATGTCTGGGGTTTCACAGCACTCTTCAGTGGCATAGCCCTAATGGCCTGCAAGCCTCTCACTTAGCCCCACCTTTAAAAGATCCTACCTCTTCCCAGTAGCACCACAGATTGAAGAATAAGCCTTTGACATGTGGGCCTTTCGGATTCTTCTGGATTTAAACTATAACAGCAGCCTACTTAGTTGCAGGTGTAACATGCTTATCTTATATTTGCTTTGAGTCTTGCTGTACCCCAGCTTGGCTTGGATCAACAGGAAAGGGAGTTATGAATGCTGCAAATGAATGAGGTGACCAGAAGCAGTGGATGCCCAAGCTGTGCTAGCTACACCTGTACCACATACTTTTGCCTCTTCACATTATAAAATGGATTCAATCAAAGCACACAGCTCCTTGGCTTCACAGGAACCCTTGACCACAAACTAGGCTGTTGCAAACTGAAGATCATTGCTTGGGTTATGACATGCTAGAAAAATGTGGAAAATAAAATTTGTAAATGCCTCAAAATATAACTCCAAAAATAGTACAATAATTTTTTTCATTTTAATAATAGATATTATTTTATCAATGCAAAGATATTAATTTACTAGATGCAAAAGCTGTAAAAAATACAGCATAGACAAAGAAAAAGGGAAAATCCACCAGCTATCTGTAGCATCCTTATCCAGAGGTAGCCCTGCTTTGGAGGATATGTCTGTGTGTTTTGATGTTCAGTACATAATTTATAGGTGTTTGTTTCAATAAAACTGACATACTGTATCAATTATCTTTTCTCGAGTCTTAATATTTCCCAATATCACTGAACATTCCTCAAGATCATTTTTGTGGCTGCACAGTATTCATACTATGCATCTCTTATGGTTTACTGTTTTATTGTAGAATACTTGGGTCATTGCTGGTATGAAATGTGCTAAAATGTTGGACCTTGGATATGAGCATACACAGTTTCCTGTGTGATATTTGCATGATGAAACACTGGAAGGGCCTTGTTATAAGTGGCATTCCTATTGTACCCTCCAGTAGCACTGATTTCCTTGAGGTGTCAGCGACACTACTAGTTTGTTTTCATCAACAGTGAGAGGCTTCTTTCTGATTGACCCTAGAAAGAAGATCAACAATAGACATGCACCTGGAAAGCAAAGATGGCAGCCTGGCCTCAGCTGTGCTGGAAGTGGAGCTGCATCAGACATCTGCTTTGTCCATTCCAACTTGCGCAGGTGCTGCAAAGCTGCTGCCAGCTAGACCTACCACCACAAACTATGAGCACTGCCAGGTAGACCCCTGCATCCCATACCCCAGCCAGGCTGCTGGGCAGAGCCTCTGTGTTCCTGAACCCAAAGATTTTGACTTGTTCCTCACAGAGGGGAGGTGAGTTCAAAAATAGTCTTGTCTTATAAATGTGGAGTTCATAAATATAGTTCCCCTCCATTTTATGGGGAAATTTTCAAGAAACTTGGCAAAAATATTTCCAGCATTAATCTCTTTCCTACTCTAATTTGGACAAATTGTATTTCTAAAATATAAAAAAACTTGGCTTCAAAAGATAATGAAAATAGAAAAGCGTTTGTAGCATAATGATCTATAGATTCATATGTTATTTAAGGTATTCTAAGTGCTATGCAATTTTGGAAGTATCCATCATCTATATATACCTTAGTACTTTATTTCTATAAACATAGCATCTTAATTAATTGAATAACATTTTTATCTCATAAAACTTTAGATTATGGGGGCTGGGGTGAGCAGGAGGTTGGGGGAGATGCCAATGCTCACACCCAAAATCATAATTTTCAGTTTATACACATCTATTGATAATGCTAAAATAAGTGTGTTGGATAGCTTTAGTGTCAACTTGACACACCTGGGTTAAGGGAGCCTCAACTGTGGAATTTCCTCTATTGGACTGGCCTGTGGCCATGTCTGAGGGGCATCTTCTTGATGAGTGATGTGGGAGGGCACAACCCATTGTGGGTGGTGCCACCTCTGGGCAGGTGGGCCTGTGTTGCATAAGAAAGCAGGCTGAGCAGGGGCCAGGGGAGCAAGCCAGTAAGCAGCATTCCTCCATGGCCTGTGCTCCAGCTCCTGCCTCCAGGTTCTTGCCCTGAGTTCCTACCTTGGGCTCCTGGATGAACTGTGACCCAGGATATGTAAGCTAAATAAACCCTTTCCTCCCCAAGTTGGTAGTGGTCAGAGTGTTTTGTTGCAGCAATGAAGAAACAAATTAGGGCAATAAGCATCCTAAATCATTTAGCATACTAAAATTGACTGTGTCTGCTGAAACAGGATGCACTGATATCCTTGCTAATCTGGGTCCCTTGTGGATACAGATGACAAATCCTGCTCAGGGTATTGTTGCTCAGCCAGAACCCTGAATCATACAGTGTCCTCTTGCTCCATCCTCTAAAGGGTAAAGGCACCACAGAACTCTTTGCACTTGGTACATGCCTGCCCCCCTGTTCTTCAGGGGGATCACATCAGTGCTGTGTTCTGGGTTTTACTGTGTGTTTATGTATCACTTAATGGTATTTGCTTACATTTTGCAAATGGTGAAACTTAAGAGTTGCTCTTGCCTGCCCAACATGTTTATGAGGTTTATCTGGGTTGAAGTCTATAGCTGTTGTTTATTAATTTGAATCACTTGAATAAAATTTCACTATATGAAATCTGAGGATGTAGTATAATTGCTAGCATGCACAAAGCCCTGCATGTCATTCTCAGCATCACATAAACCTGGCATGGTGGTACAAGCTTGTAACCTTAGAACTCAGGAGGTAAAGGAAAGAGGATCAGAAGTTCAAGGTCATCCTTGGCCACCTAGGGAGTTTGAGACCAACCTGGGTTAGATCTATCCTGTCTCAAAAGAGTATGGCACCATTTATATATCGTCCATCTATGGCAAGAGCCCTTTACTGGAGATTTCCTTGAGTTCTCTTGATGGCTTAGTTACCAGCTGCTGCTGTAATAGTTCAGAATCCAAACACAAACCTTGCATTTCATTTTTTTCTTTTGTTTTAAATTAGAAATACTCTTTCATTTTTTTCTTGTTTTTTTTAAATTTTTTTTATGTTTTAGAAGAAGCATTTCATTACAGCTTTAACACAGTCAATAACAATTTCCAGAGCAAAGATACATCTCTTTCAAAAGTGGCTATAAAATGTTTAGGTTCACAGTTGAATTAATACAGTTATACAATATTGAGCTCAGTATAAACCATGTACGATATAAAATTGAATGAGCTTTTAACATTTATAAAAGATCTCCATTTCATCTTAAAAATACTGTTTCTTAAAGAAAGACTCATTGTTTTTGCTAATAACACTTAGATGTTGGTTCATGCATCTCTACTCTGTATGTATCTGATTATTACTAGTCATGGTCAGTTGCACTCGGATCCTTGGCACCTGTGTATGATTTATTGAGAATTTCATATAGGGATATAAGCATATAAGGTGTTTTGATTAAATCCATGCCCACTCCCTCCCCTCCAACTCCTCCCATATCTCCCCATCACTTTTCTGATAACTTCATGTACTCTTTCTTCTTTATTTTAATGGGTTTTTTGCTACTCTAACATTCCCCACTCTGAAGAGGTAACCCTAAAATCTTTTAAGGATTACATAAAAGCTCCCAAATACTTTTGACTTTTTGGCCTTTAGAACAGAGTATGTTGCTAAGAGGCCCAAGACCATTTTGACTTTTATTTAAGAAACTGGCTACTTTTCTTTGGGGTCTTTTTATACTAACTGCCTAGCCAATTTCTACCTCCTATTCTTATCACATCAACCTCTGAAGAGGTTACCCAGTTTGTGGACAGGGACTCAGGATGCAGACTGGCCTGGCTTCTTCCATACCGAACAGGGATGCAGGGTGAGGCAATTGGGGTACCCCTTCAGTGGGTCTCTGTAAAATATTCCTAAATTGCATAACTCTTATCTGTAGGGGGAAAAGAAAGTCCTTGACTGGTGAATAGGAGATGTGAAGGAGAAGTAAAGGCAAGAGTAATTATCATTACAAGTTCCAGACAGGGAACTAGAAAAAGGTCAGAACAGGGCAATTTTCAAATGTTCATATGAGAGTCCACTGGAATTTCTTGA